ATACGTCTTTTGGACTTCCATGCGGGCATCAAGACTATTTTGCGGTAATGCAAAGAAAGAAGGATATAAAGAAACCTTTTGATATTTTAAATAAAATAAAAACCACCTGCGACATATTTTAATTTTCTTGGTCAGTTATATGAGCCTTTTAGTTTGCAGAATGACTAACTCCAATTTCAACATATTTAATTTCAATTTTAGTGATATTTATAGTGGGAAAATTTAAACCTATATTTACAGTTCTGTATTTCAACACAGCAATCACTTATTCTGGAATCAACTTACTCACTGTCTGTGCAGATATTATAAATTTTTGTAAATAGAAATATCACTAAAATGACTTTACTGAAAACTGTTGAAATTGGAGTTAGTAAATCTGACGACTGAAATGATCATATAATAGTAACAGCGTTGATGAGGTTCTTATCTAGGTATGGCTTTAATATGGGACAGAACATTAAACTGGAAGAATACTTTCAGTGGCGCAAGCTAATTACACAAAAATAAAATGATTAAGCTATGGTATTATTACATAGTAGGAACTTTAGCTATAATAAAAGTGCAACATTGAAACCAATTGAGTGGACCAATGTAATAATGTGGAAGTATTTTTTTTTTTTAGGGAGGTACATATTAGATATTCGTTTAACCTAAAAAAAAAAAAGTTCTAAAAATGTAATTGTACAGCACTCTTATTCAAATAAAATAAAGTGTTTCTCTGTTGCAAGTAGGTGCAAAAAAGCAAAAACCGTAAAAAAATTTTAAAACTAATCTACCAATCCACATGAAAATTTAAGGCATTTAAGACCTTACACACTACAGGCAATGGCTCAAACTCGACCATCATTCGATCCAACAACATGAAATAAAAACGATGAAAAATTGGATGAGATAAATATAAAATATAATAAAAAAACAGTTTTATTTGACGTTCCCTTAAAAAAATTAAATAAAAAAGGGACAAAAACACTATTAAAAAGGGCCAAAAAACAAAAGATAAATAAAACAACAGAGCATAAAAGTGAAGCTAGGAATAAAGCATATCAAATATACAATGCAAAACAAAAAATAAACAATTTTTAAATAGGGTTTAAAACGTAATGAAAAAGTATTATAAAAAACAAATTATTACAGTAATTAATTAATAATAATAAAATTTAAAGAATATTAAAACACCAGTTTAACCTAATAAGAAAGTTAAAACTAGCTATTACCAAACGAAACCATGACTGTTAAATCACGGCTGTGAGATTTCAAGCATTGATTGCATTATAGCCCTTCGATCAATCAAGTTGCCGTATCATTACACACTTATCCAATCCTCAGCACGGATGAGGAATAATACCGCATTACTTCGTTAATCTAAAAGTCATGACATAAGTTATAAAATGTCATTTGTCGCTAAGTTGGTCAAGGAAGGGGACAACGGATAGTTAAAAAAATATATATATTTTTCGTTACTCGTAGATCAGAACGTGAGATAGCCTAGAAAAGTGTCGTTGTTTTTTTTACAACAGTTAATAATTATTTATTACAGATTGACTTTGGCTAAAACAGTCAAATATAAGAAAATACCAAATCATAGAATACATTTTAATAGGTATTACAACAGGTTTGTAAACTTGTTGTTACACGTCGTTGTTCTACTTTGTGTTTTTATTCAAACTATAGACAATCATTTTAAATTCCTAAAAGTTGTTATAGGCCCTGATGGGGTGAGGGTGAGGTATTAATGGCAGAATTAAAAGCCCTCTCCACCACCCCGCACTGGGACGCTAACTCATAATTATTTTAACAAATTATCTTCTATCAGGTTGTCAGGCAACATGGTGCTGTGCACACGCCTTGGCATTATGCCACTCCGATCATAATTGTTTAAACTTGTGAAGAAACAAAATGGAACATTTCCAATAATAAAAAGGTAAAGGCTTGAAAATAGTTATTCTAAATGTACTTACAGACTAACAATACATAGGTGAAGCGAACAGGAACTTACCTAGAAAAGAGAAAAAACAAACAATTAATATAAAAAATCTTTTTGCTTATTAAATACAAAATATTATTATTATTTTTTTTTAATTGTGATGTATTGTTTATTTCAATTTAATCTTATTATACAAAACAGTTACAGAATTCATCGTCATGTATTAAATTATATAAAAACCAATTTTTAAAATACTGAAGTTATTTTAATCATATTATTTATTTTTGCAGTATAAAATAGATTTACACACTGCCACATTTTTTTCTAATTAAGAATAACCCTTTGGCAAAGTATTCTAGTTACGGTACTGGAATTTTTGAAGTAAAAATAATCAATGTTTTCATTAAGAAAATACATCAATAATTGTAGTCCATTAGCATGGTGCCCACGATATGACTTCGAAAATAATTTGCTATATTATCAGCAAATAATTTATGATAATAATATAATTAGAAATATTCAACTGGAATTCTAAAATAAAGCTTTAAGTTTATTAGATATCAATTGATAAATAATAATTCAACGCTATGTCGATTCAGATATTACATAAAAAAAAGAAAGGAAAAAAAAGAGAACGTTATAGAGGGTTGTTTTAACGGGTGATACGAGATGTGTTGTCTTTTGTACTAATTTTATCATTACATTATAGTCTTTTTGTGTAGTTGTGACTCTTAATAATATATGAATATTCGATCTAACAGACTTTTTTTTTCAAACCAGAGACATGGACACATGGAGGCAGTATCTTGAAGTGAAAACAAGTACACTTACAGGTAACGATTCGAAACCGAAGAGATGATTGCAATATAAAATATAATAGGTTGAAAAAATAAATAAAATAAAATCGTTACAAACTAATAAGGTACGTTCTCGGACGAGTTGGCACCGGCTCTTATAATTATATCGATATTTCTTCCAGCGTCACCAAAAAGGATCATCTTTTTCTCCAGTCCCTTTGAGATGGTAATTAGATGTTAACCGAGAAGACGCGACGCGGACTCCTGGGTTAACATATTTCCCGACAATGGGGGCTCCGCCCGGCAGGATTAGGGACCCATTTGTTAGGCAAACGTCGGAGATACTCGACCAATTACAGAACAGCGGGGGTACTAGAACCGCTGAAGTCTTCTCTTTTTCTCCAGCCGGGACTCCAGAGCTCTGGTGCGTGTAAGGCCGACCATTCAAAGGGGTCACGACCATCTTATTATGGAATTAATTCCCGCGGGGCGATACATCATCGCTATGCTCTCCCCCCCCCCTCCTCTGGTACAATCCTAATCCCCCGCCCAGTTTACATTCGGCCCCTCGAATTAAAATTCTTCACGGCTACCCTTCTTCCATCAAGAGGCCATTTTTTTTTTATATTTTACTTTTTCATTTTCCCTCCGCCGTCATTTTTTAACCCTCTCTCTTTTTTTTTAAATAATATTTAAAAAAAGAAGAGAAATGAGGGAAACATTCGAGAAATGTAAATGAAATCGAAAAACGAGATAGTGATTTTTTCTCAAAAGTAGACTATATTTTCTAAAACATGTATGCAATATAACCACAAAATCCGTACTTTATGACTTTAATATTCGATTTGGTCTATACCTTATCCCTACAATTCTTCTCGAATGTTGAAACGGCAGTGATTACACAACCTTCTGTAAACACGCATATATCAGAATTTTGGACAAATCCAGATTCTCTTAGTCCTCAACCACTAGCCTTTAATACGAGTGATACGTTGCAGTTGATAAAGAAGAGTAGGGATCTTCTGAAGACCTATTTTTCCTCCATGTGTAGGGAGACAAGTCTAGTTCCCAGTTCTTCTGGCTAATATGTATGATTATGTTTAAGACGTTATTTTACTCTTTAATCAATAATTTTATAATTTTTTTCAAACTTCGTTTTATTTAAATATTGCTATTTAACTATTAGTTTATTTTATTTAATTCATTCATATTATAAATTTATATGGTATTAAATTGAAGAACACATTACTCAGTATTACTAATGTCCAATATTGTAACAAAATGTAATGTTAAAAAAAAAAAAAACACGCCAGTTCTTTTTTTATACTAAACTATATTTTAAAAAACTTTCTCAACAACACTAAAACTAATTGAAAATAAAAACAAAACGACCAGAATTTTTACAAACGTCAACATGAAACCCGAAAATCGACAGAGCGGAGCCCACATGAATCTTTTAGTCGTGTCAACAAAGCCACTCGACATTCAGAGCAGAGCTCTCCAATATCCAACAGCAAGCAATTTTACCACAACCCCACGGAAAACCTTTGAATAATAATTATACACCAGCGCTTCCAAAAGCCAAAGGGCCATGGCTGAAACTAAAAAAAAAAAACTTTAAAATATTCTCGTTGCTAAACACGCATTACATATAGATTTCAAAAAATCATGAGACAACTATAAAAGGCAGACAACTACAAAGGCTTTTACGGTGAACCGCTGACACACGATTTTCAACACTCTCTACTGTTTACATAGTCATGTTAAACAGCGTATAAAGTTTTTTTTTTTTTTTTAATAAATAGAAAACCTGAACACCATACAAATATATTACACTAAAGCTCATGTAATTGCTAAGTAATTATACATAAAATTGTTCAGTAGAGTCTACTTGTCGCTAATTCGTATGATTATAGTGGAATAAGGACAATAATAATTAGGGTTCACTTTGGAAATAAACGACTCATACTTAACATATCGAAAGATAATTTTTCAAGAAAAGAATAATGTTTATATAATAATTATTATAATAATTAATAATATTAGATAATTGATGTTTATGCTTTTACTGATGTATTAAATTATAAATATAAACATCCAAAATACCCTAATAAAATATCATTCAACGACATGATTCTAGCCGCTACGCCTAATTTCCAGATGTCGGCTCACGTCAACCTCCAGGATCAACAGGGCGGAATGCAACCTATAACCGACCTCTAAGGATGTGAAGAAGACCCCACCCACCTCCTGTTATAGAATAGTCCTCCAGCCGTGAAATGGGAATACCCTGCACGGCCATCAGGCCCCCCGTTCTGGAGGATTTGCAAAAGGCGAGCTCTAAAGCTCCTAAATTGTGCGACAATCCACTGGAAGAGGGTGGTCGAGATTCACCGAATCTAAAATGTAAATGAGAACGGAGATCCTTCCTTTAAGAAATGAATAAATGGAAAAAAATAATATTAATATAATTCTTTTATTTTTATTTATTTATTTAGAAATATAATAATCTGTCACACAATAATTATTGCGGTTTATGAACACATTCACACCATATATACTCGAAATATAAAATTAACAAAAGTAAAATAATAACTGAATAATAATCAAAAACTATGTACAATAAGTAAATTAAAAACATAAAAACACAGTCATGCCTATATACAATCAGGCAGGGAACCCCAAGCTAGGCTTCTCTCTCCAATTATAGAGGGAAAAGCAGGACTCCAAGAGACACCTGCGCTACTCTCTCAACCGCGTCACTGGAGCTAAAGCCAGCAGAGTAAAAATAATTACGTATATAAGTATTTTCGAAAAGATAGAACTAGGTTACCGCGTGTAACCTGTAGTTTTTTTTTTGGGGGGGAGGGGGACATCCATCACCCCTCCCACCCACCAACCATAATATAAAGCCTGTGCCAATGCTAATACCATACAAGTGATACTTATACAAGTTCCTTAGTATATACTACGATATCGACGATATACCGGTAGATTAGCAACGAGGACTGAACCCCATTGACCGAGAAGAGGCAATCACACCTCCGAGAGGGCAGAAAGGCACTCACTTGTTCCTTAGCTAAACCTGGCACTATGTCATTACGTTCTTTGTAGTACGGCCCATTGTAGTCTGCCTAGCCGTCCTGTCTTTGTGCCCGATAAATACCCTACCGTGCCGCCTAGCCACAACTCATACCCTAAATACTACGTCTTCCCACAAAATAAATAAACAAATAAGAACATTAAACTTTTCACTGTTCAACACATGTTAACTAATATAAAGAGAAGGGGAGAAAGAGAACAAATTGAGTGGAGTGAATCTCCTGGACTAAATTCAAGTTGAAAAATCTTTCCTTTATACAGCCATACATTTGCCAATGAATTCAAAAATCCGTAATGACCAATTAGAGTGGTCATTATATTTGAACAATTTTCGCCATAAGCGTGGCCTCACCATACAGAAATAAATAAAAATAAAATTAATAAAATAATAGATACAAGTATACAACGACGGCTTGGATTAAGGAAGTTTTCAAAGATCTAAAAAGATTCAACATTCGGGAGGTTCAGAAGTTGCATAAAAATTGGAATGGGGCGGTGATTCGAGGTTTGGAATGGTTTTAGGTCGAAAGAACTGCAAGGACTAGAAAAGGCACAGCGTCCACAGAAAACTACATAACAAAGAAACAAATTAAGGGGCGGAGTGGCCGAATGGGCTAACGCGTGTGCACAGCACAGCTAGTAGTTCGGCAATCACATTACCGAAGTTATAAAAGATTAAAAAGTACGAGTTCGCGTCCCGGTGCCGGAAGGGATTCTAATTTCCTGGCCCTCACCTCCCCTCTCCGGCCCGGGAAAACCCCGTATATACTAAAAGGTTAGGTAAGGAAGAACAAAAAAAATTGTTGTGTGGTCCCAAGTGGTCAATTTGCAAATATAGATATATAGATATAGATAATAATGGAATTTTTTTTTTAACAAAATAGTATTCAGTACAAATAGTATTCAGGGTATGAAGGATAACTAGTATGAAGGGTCTTGGGTTCAGTACTTCGTAAGGAGTACTTTTACAAGGATAACGGTTGTACAGGGAGGTGATCGGGACGAGATCACGCCCAACTGCCAAGTTCTACACCTTAATTAAATGTTAAATTAAGAATACCCATTTTATAGATGTTGGGTGAGCCCTAGGAGGGTCTCCCGACCTCAGGCTTGATCGATGTCTGACGAAAAATGACTTGTCTTCAGTCTGACTCTAACCCGAACTGAGTTACCCTGCTCCCGAAAGACCCTTCAAGGATATAATAATTTAATGAAAATTATTATTGAAATAATTTCATATATTAATGAAAAAATTCACAAATGAAACAATATCCTACAAAAACTTTTTAAAATGCCAATCCCACATTTTAAATTAATATCCTTTTATTTTAGACTCCCTTAACATTTCTACATGTCAACTTTTAATATACTGAGTTAGTGGCAAACCTGGCCACGGTTCGAATATTGACAGTTGTGCAGGGTCACGAAGAAATAGATATTTCGAAACCAGTTATGTATCAACTCTCAGACACGATTATTACAAAATTTATGCTTCGCTCCAATATTTATTCTTTACAAAAACTGAATTGATAATTTGTGGACCCAAGAGTCTTATCCACATTTGTTCAAGAATGGGTTACTCGGATATAGTGTTGCAACTTTGTGAATAAAAAATTATTGACAGCGACACTTGGTTGTTAGCATTATTTTGACATTTGAAATTTTTTTTATCTTTGTCTTTCTAATCACACCTTTCAGAAATAATGACAGCCAGTGAGTTTGCTGTCGGAAACTAGAAAATGGAGTAAAACTTTGATAGACTGGAGAGAGAAGAGTACCCAGCAGCAACCCTTCCAATCTTGATTTTAATTTTTAATAATATGGTTAAGCGAGGAGATTAATCCTGTTACTTTTGATCCTCCTTCGGGTGTTATCGGGTATACTGCTTGTAGGCATGCCTCGAATCAGTGAATCGTATGTTATTATGTAATCTTATGTAGTGTATTGAATGAGGTAAAAAAGTAATCCTATAACCACTCCAACGCACTAACTTCAGTTTTAATACTTTCATAACTCTTTGAAGAAAATGAAATTTCGAATAAATATCATTGATAATGTACGAAAGGTAAGCGCACCTGTGATGAATATGGCTAAGAAAATTTTGTCTATTTTGGCTTATGCCGCCGTAACTATTATAGTTATAAACTTCTCCGTTGGCATTTAGCATCTCTAGGGTATCCTTTTTCTATTTAACAGTATAAAATTAAAAAATATTTAATTATTCAGGTTTAAACTCCATTTAAAAAAAACAACACCTTTTTGCACTAGGGATAGACACCTCCGAACTTTAATGGTTCTAGTAACGGACAGGAAGACGGTAATAATAATGGAAATCCTCTAGAAAAATTCTAAATTTTTACTTAGCTATAAAGATAAGATAATTTATAATATATTTTAAAGTCCAACCCATCACTGGGCTCCATGTCTATAACTGGTGCGTTCACCTTCAAGTCATATCGAAAGGCCCGATAATCTAACTTTCTCAAATTCTTGAACATTTAATATTAGAATTCTATAGAAGAACTTATGAAAAAATGGTTCGAAAGTGTACCTTTGTCCCTAGGTACTGTGAACCTTCCAAGAAATACCACATCTCACAAGAGAATCGGCAGAATGGGAGAGGTTTCGCTGAAAGGACACGAGAGGAGTGCGGAGTATATTCGCCCAAGACAGGCGGTCCTCCGGGCAGGTAGGAATAGATAACCCAGACCGATCCTATCAGGACAGACTATCTCTTCCCATCTTGTCAGCCCCTTTTGCACATTTACCTCCTTCTCCAGTATTTTTTTTTTCTCCTTCTTTCTTTCTTTGTTTTTGCAATTTTCTTCTCTTTTTTTTTTTTGTCTGTTTCGCTCTCGCTCTCCCCCCCCTTCCCTCAAGCCTGACTTTTTTGTCCTTTTATAGAAGGGGCTGGAGGAGAGCGGAGACCAGCCGGAGCATTAATCACCAATAACTTTATTCCCCGTTCTGTAGGATCCGCATCAGATAACAGAGTCCCCTGCCTTCTTGCGCAATCTTATGCCAAACCTGATCCCCTTAGGAGGGAGTCAGAGTAACAAGTTATTTTTTATTTCATTTTCGTCCTCGTTTATTTTCATTAAGGGTCCCGATACATGGCGCTTTATCGGTTCAATGATCGATTTTAATACAATTAATGGAACGCATTCTGGAAATCAAAGGAGTAATTATTCTGGTTCAGTTGGGCCATACACTAATTTATTTATAGAATTTAGTTTTTTTAAATATACATTGAGATTAGAGATTGAATGTTAATGTCGGAGTTATTTATTGTTCACTCCAATAAATCACTAAAAATTTATCTGATAACCAGTCGTAATTTGATATTCACAATAAAAACATACGATTAATTAAAATTAATAGGCTCTCTTAGAGGAAACATTATTAGATGATAACTATATAGGACTCCAGTAAGCGTATCCTAGACATAGACAGCCATGCAGACCATTCGACCTCCGATCCGGACATACCAAGAATGGAACGGGCATGCGAGAGCCACACATACCGCCGTGTTCTTTCAGTCAGTCGCTTAGCCAGGTCTATTTAAGTACACATGTCAATAAAAAAAAAAGAAAATAGTATTTATTCGAAAGATTAATTTATTCTTATATATATATATATATATATATATATATATATATATATATATATATATACTGATAAAAAAAAGTAACAATTGAATCATCAATGTTTAAATGAAAAATAAATAAACAATTCTTAATAGAAATTAAGAAAATTAGTTTAAATCTGTTTTACAATATTTATTTACTAATGAGATTTCAAAAATTTGTTTTCTTAAAAAAAAAAGTAGTCCAGGTCCGTCATTAGTAGTATGAGATATATGGAGATAGAAACCCCTTAATATAATATAAGATTATATAAACTTCGGTAATACTATAAAAGAATAAATTATATATACATTTTTTTTATTACTTTTTACAATGTTAATGGTTTTTCGGTTAACAAAACAATGAAGATAATATTAAATTTATTTTAAAGTTTTAATTATGTTTCTGGGATGGTCAACTCCCTGACTTGATAAACGATGATATTTTTGTTTTTTTTTACTAATGCCATTAATTCAACAATATTGAAATAGTTGTATGTTATTAATTGATATAATTTTTTGATCTACATCAAAAAAATTACTAGATATCCACACATATGAGATAAGATCTTTCAATTCCTAAATGTAATAAAGTTAGCAAAACATTAATTTATTAATAATAATAAATTCATTATGATAAGTTGCACGAGTAGTTAAAGTGGCCTAAATAATCAGACCATAGTTAGTTCATTAAATACAATTAAATAAAACATCAATATTCGCACTGATAAAATTTAAAAGGAAATCGTAATATATAATTATAAATGTAGAAATTGGTGATTAGTTATACTAAATAATATTCATTCTTAACCGTGGGAGTACAGTTCTTACTATCAATATTATAGTATAGAAAGCAGACATTATGATCACTACATATTGACGTATGTCGTAGAGCTAGCTTACACAGTCCCATACATACGTAACACAATAGGACTAATAACTGGACCCAACAAGACGCCTACACTAATCGAGCCGTTACGTAACGATGATGATTCTGCTGCACACATACAGATAGGTCAGCGCACCTGAGACGGCTTATTAAAATATCGATAATAAAACGGTGGACCTATCGATTAATTGCCCTATAAATCATTTCGGTAGAGAGCTGATTAATGCGGAGCCATATATAACGCCCAAGATAAGAAGCGCACTGGTGTCAGCGCCCCCCCCCCCTTGTTCATATTTAGAGAAGGAGCCGGGAACTAAAAGCAACGTGTGAAGGAATTTCCTTCAAGATAAAACACGTTCCCCATTCATATCCTAATGATCCATTATCCCCCTCCCTGCCCCTCCATAAATTTGTGCCAAATTAACGTGCGGCAATGTGTGCTCTACCAACCTCTGCTAATTGATTCAGGTGGGAACAGTCTACCTGGCTCAAAGATTTTAAAAGGCAGTTAATAGATAGCAGGATATCTCTGCTAGAACATGAAACTCTTATCAGGCGGGTGGGTGGAGGAAAAAAAAATTTCGATTACTGATAGGTAAGAAAGCTAAATTTCAGAAGATTATAAGCAACGTTTTAGCAACAAAATAAATAGTTTTAGGTCTAAACTTCAAACATCTAACTAGCGAAGCAATATATATATATATTTTTTTTCAATATCGTTGCACAACCAAATAATTCAAATTAATTTTTCCATATAAATATAAGAAGAATAACTACCACCGACAATGACCGTTTAACACAGAAATAATAACTTCAATAAGTAATATTTTTTAATTAAAAAAAAACAGCTAATTTCGATTAGCTAGCTAAACATACTTTTCAATATGTTTTAGTATACAATAATGGTGATATGAATGAAATTTTATTTTAAAATGGCCGAACACGTTGCTATTTTAGATATAATTTAATCCCATAATTTTGTTAAAAAGGCTTTAATGTGTTATAGGACTAACATTGGTCCAATTTATTAAATGATTTAAATACTTATATGCTTAATAATCCAAATAGATAATAAATATGAATAAGAAATAGATTCATAATCTCATTTTAATCTGAGCTATGTAAGGGTAAATTAGCAACAATATAAAAATATTTTGGATTATCCAACCTGCTAGATAAAATATGTTTGTTATAGAGAAATTATTTAAATATATGGTTGTTAACAAAATAGTGAGTGGCTAGTATTTTTTTTTTTTTTTTTTGTATTAAAACATTTAGTTGGCTTATATTAATTTTTAGTTTAAAAAAATATGTCGACTCATATATCGATATTGATAGAATAATGAAAATGGATCATGGGTCAGATGAATATAAATGTATAATCCAACAGATTTATATTTGTTTTTGTCCAATATATTTCGATCCCTCCTTCTCCTCTGCTTATAAGAGAAAAAAAAAACATTTTCTTCTCAAGTGCCCCAGAGCCTACGAGTTATTACCACTTAAAGTAATTGCAATAGCTTCTTAATACCTCGAAAGAACTCCGTCGGAGTAAGGAAGGGAGGGAAAACAGTGTGGAGGAGAAAGGGATCTGAGAGAGAGAGGGAAGAAGGGAAAAAGGAAAGAGAGAAAAATAAAGGGGAAAAAGAAAAAAAAAAAAAAACATGAGAAGAAAAAAACAAATGGCGGAACTGGGGGGGAGGGGCGGGGGCTGGATTTTATTATTGCAGCCGACCCTTTCCTCCTTCGCTATGGTCTCCACGAAAAATATAATGTATGTATCTCCAACGGGAGCTGTATTCAGATTACACACCCAACAGCGCAAAAACTAATTTTGCAATCTCCTTACTACTGAGGGTCCGTTTTTGTTTTAAAAGAGTTGTAAAGTATAACGAAAAAAAAAAAAAAATCATACATATCATGCACAATCACTTTAGGCCTATCGTATATATAAGAGTTGAAAAAAAAATAGTAATTAAACAACGGTTACAACAAAGTGAAGTTTATTAAAGTTGTATAGAACCTATTATTTATCCGCTTATTGACTTTCGCCAATATTTTGTAATTTATTATTTTTGAAGAGTAGCGCAGAGATGGGAGGAGTGGGGGAAAGGGGTATTAAAGAAGGCCATAAGTCTTAGTTACATTATTTCGAGAGCTTTTAAAGTTTTGTTATAAAATATACGAAGAGAGGTGGGGCCCCACTTGGCAAAATTCCTCACCCCCCCCCCAGGCTATAAATGTTATCTGTTTTGATAGGGCTTCCTCGTGGCTAGGTAGTCCATTAGAAGAGGATACTTTGTGTAGTCAAGTCCTCAAGGTGACCCTTAGGGCTTACGCTGTTTGACCGGAGCAGTTTCTCACGCCTTGAGCCCATTAAAAATGTCCAATATATTGTCTTCTTTATCTTCATTTGGCTCTCTCTCCTTCCCCTTCTCTCTCTGCCTCTCCTTCTTCGGAACAGGATTCCCTCCCCCCTCCTCCCTTACTCCGAACGAGGCAAAGGCACAATTCACGAACCGCCTAATTCATGGTAAACACGATAAATTATTATTCTCGGAGAGGTAAACCAAGCCATTCTGAATTCAATCCAAGCCGGGTTCTTGCTGAATATATGGACTCGTTCGTTCGCTATAAACCGAGACCGGTTTATTGAGAAATTCACTTTCAGTAAATATCATAGATAGCAGCCTCTTATAAATAAATAATATACATTTTGTTTTCATATGTTAAATATGTATCGCCTTATTTAAAACTTATACGATAACGAAAGTAGACGGGACAATTTCGAAGCAGACTTAGTGAAAATTGGTACTGAATAGGTTACTACCTTGTGGAGGTAGGATACTATCTCCTACTAGTGGAACCAGGATTTAGTTTTATGGGGGAGATGGGAAGCTTCAGCCCGAATTTTTTTTTTTTTAAATATATAACGATAATACCTTAGGAAGTAGAAGAAAGGAACTGGCTGCCTACATGAAATAGAGCTAAATTGATTCTTTAGGTACAATGAAATATAATTACACGAACAATAATACTTTTAGAGGTAAGACACACACGGTTTTAGATTTCAACATTTTGGGAGGCTTCAGCCCGAAAGCACTTCTTCCCCCTCCCTCCGTAGATTCGCCGTGGAGAACACTGAGACCTTTAATGGGTTTCTGTCGTATAAGAGAAATACATGCGTTTTAAGGTAAACCGTAAGTTTTGAATCGTCGGTTTATTACAAAGGTGACATTTCATAACCGCGAACAATTAGGAGCTTTAATAAATTCTCCCTTCATAAAATCAGAAAATTGTGCACTCAGTGTAACTATATACCACTGTACCATTGTATAGACTATGTAACTATATAAAAATGTACTTAATGACTTATTGCAATAACCTGACGACATATTCATATTCGTTTTCTCCTAGTAGTAATCTATAAACGGAATCTTTTCCGAAATAACTATAGCTTCTACATCATATGCAAATCAGTCTTTAAAACAGCTCCATAGTTCTGTGACCCTATTCCTAAAAAAAAAAAAAAAACAGAATTCCTCATAACCTCTCTTGTTTTCCCCCACTTCTTCTACGGTTCTTCCATGGAGAACATGGCTGTTTGCAAAGTCGGAGTTGAAGTGCGTTTTCAAAGCCTTCAAAGCCAAAAAAACATTCATGCACCCTAAAACACGTTCCTCTATTCACAATTGAAAAAAAGAGATCTCAATCTAATGGTATTCTCTCTCATAAAACCACTTCCTTCAACAAATCTTCAGTCATTCGTGCCACATGCTTTTGGAACTCTTTTTTTTTCCTACAGTGGATTGACGTCAATCCTCGTCCAGAACAAATTACTTTAAACAACCAGTATTTCGCCACCTACCGACTTCATATCCAAACAACCTCTACCATTTAAGAAGTATTAGTTTCTGTAGTAGCTACAAACAGCTAATCAACAAGTACCGTTTTGCAGTTTTTCTTACCAGACTATTGTACATAATTTCCAACTTAATGTCAAAACATATGGCATTAATTATCGTTGAGACCTGGACGGTACGTTAATTATACCTTATTAAGTTTCCCTCTGGCCGTTTAGGATTGCATTGACTGTATACAATATCCTAAGACGGAGCATATAGACGGATGAGGTAGCGACAGTACATACAGTAAATCGTAGCGGCACGTTATCAACGGACGTTATCAAAGAGCTTGGAGCCCCGAGGACGTCCTAATAGCTCCATCATTAGCTAGCTTCCTATCTGCCCGGCTATCGGCCTCACTTCCAAAGGGCCCTACCTTAGGTATTAGCGGAATTTCAATAATTACAATTTAAAACCTCCGTTTCAAACCTTTAAACTCAATTTATTAAACAATTAGGAGATCCTTTGAATTCCACAATCCTTACCTTTGAATAGCATATAACAGTAAACGTAGCGTTTCAAGAATTCATTGTAATTTTATTGTTTACATAGTGTACGAAAAAAACAATTAAAACTAGATTCTTATGTCTAATAAATCAGATTTCAATTAAATGTATATAAAACATAACTATGAAAAACAAATTATTACTATAAAAAGTCTATAGACATTGCCCTTCGAATATTGTAATTAGCATTAAAATTTTTCTTTTTTATCAGCTAGAAGATTTTCACCTACATTAAAAATATTTGTACACAGTGGACGAGGAATTCGACGCTCTACGACTTTTATTTCATGAGATTTTGCTTTAAAGGAAATCAAGTTTTTTACGAATTTGGAAAATCTTAAGTTCGTTGACCGTGGTTTTCAACCATACAACATAAGTTTAGGTACTCCTTCGACGAATAATTCAACATTGTTTAATTCGTTAAATAGTACGTTTTTCTCTTCGATGCACGGCTATAGGTAAAAAAAAAAAAGATCGAAGTAATCTGGTTTTGTGGCTGTTTTTCTTGGGTGCGTGCGTTAGAGATTTTATTTTTTAAATGCTTCAGCCTATATGTTTCGCAATATATTTCCCGATCGATCCTTAGGTTACTGGTCTAATATTCTTTAAATGAGCCGCCGTTTTTTTTAAAGCAACAGCTCTACAGTGGCGGATAATGTTCATCTTACCTTGAATAACATACACTTTCATAATTTACATTCAAAGCTTCGCTCGCGAGGAGGTCACTTT